GAAATACATTTGTGCACTATACTAAAATGATTTTTAATTAACAAATTTATATAAGTACTAGCTGTACCCTGCCACGTTTCTCTGTGGCATATTATGGTTAAGAGGGCACTTCTGAATACATCAAGGTTCTGGCAAAATCATCTTCCTGGCATAAGGTGAAGAAGGCAGTCAGAGTTGTCGCTGGCCGATTCAGGACTCTTTCTTGCACATTTTTTTCTGTGAAATAGACACGTTGACCATTCTCCAAATGGACTGCCACGTTTCTCTGTGGCATATTGTGGTTGAACGCATAAGAAATAAGTCAAACAAAAAATAATCATTTTCAAATTAATTTAATTCTGTAATACTTGTTGGTATACAATATTCTTTGTTTCTCCATTCTCCGCGTAAATATAAAGACTTTTTGGTTTTCCGACTCGTGAACACGCAACATATAATTGTCCGTGTGAAAAACAATCTTCATCCAAATCCAGACCACACAACTCCAGAGATTGACCTTGAGCTTTATTTATGGTCATTGCAAACGCCAAACGAATGGGAAACTGCAATCTCTTGAACTGCAACGGTGTATCTGTCGGGATCATAGGAATCCTAGGAATGAGGACATCTTCACCTTTGAAAGGACCAGTTATGATCGTTGCTTCTACTATGTTGTTCATCAATTTCTTGACTGCGAGTCGCGTACCGTTGCAGAGTTTCGGCTGATTTATATTCCGGAGCATGTAATCGGCACACCTATTTTTAATTTCAATATGTGTGGTGGCATTCCAGGCAGATCAAGTGAGTTTAGAAATTCGGTAGGGTAATTAACTGCTTCCTCTGCTTCCACAACGGTATCTATCGACTTATATGTAATTTCGTCAGTTTCTATGCTTTTTTGGATTACATGATTGAGCTGGTAGACATCTTTGTTCTTGGCAGCGAGAATCGCTCGTCCACTGAGCCAATCGTGATTCCTATAATTTATTCGGATATTGGGGAACACTTTTTGGATAAGTTCTTCCTTCGATGTAACTAAATTACAGAAATTCCCGGGCAATACTATTTTTCTCGACGTCTCATTGACTGGCAGCTTTCCGTTCCCAATGTCCAGTAGCTGTCGTGAGAATACGTCGGCTGAGTCATTGTTCTGTAACTGGACACGCATATTCGTCTTCAACTGTAATGTACGTACATGTTTCCACAATATAGAATATTTCAGGCAAGCATTTATCTCGTCAGCTGGTGTCGATCGGGAAATCACAGGCAACGTTTGTCTGAAATCACCTGCGAGCAATATTAACGCGTTCCCATGCATTGCTCTCAGCCGCTCAGTCTCTCGGAAGGAGGCCCGTTCTTCGTCAGTCATATTCGTAATCTTACGTCTTTTTGCTTCTGTATTGCGAATACAACGACCCAATCTCGACTTTTTTGGTGGCATGACTTCGTTTCTTACTGAACCTGAACAAAAAATAAAATTTTTATCTCCAATTTCTTCTTTCAATATGTTTTTAATGTTTGACAGGAAATGCTTTGATTTGCCTGTAGAGGGCGCAGTAGTAGGGGCACGGGGAAACGCTAAAAAATAGATATATTCGCAACCGCAGATAAGCTATCAACATCAAAAGTAGTCAATAACCGAGCTGGAACCTCAACGCATGTTCTCTAAAAATTTGGGCTTAAACGGTTCAGAACTTTTCAAGTTTCTTCTTTCAATATGTTTTGAATGTTTGACAGGAAATGCTTTGATTCAGCTGGCTGCCTGTAGATGGCGCAGCAGTAGGGGCACTTGGAAACGCTAAAAAATAGATATATTCGCAACCGCAGATAAGCTATCAACATCAAAAGTAGTCAATAACCGAGCTGGAACCTCAACGCATGTTGTGTAAAAATTTGGGCTTAAACGGTTCAGAACTTTTCGAGTCTATGAAGGATGTAGACACGAACAGAGCATTTTTATATATATAGATATGAATATTTATTTATTGTAGTGATTGAAAAGTTTTCAAGTAGAAAAAATACAATTCTATACTTGATTCTTTCTTAAGCTTGATTTATTTAGAACTTAAATTGCAAATTATTAGAATAACTTTGAGTACATTTTAGGCATGTTTTCTTAGATAAATATTGTATCAAATTAAGTAATGATATGTATAATTAATTATGTATTTGAATTTGATGCACATATAATTTCTTAAATTGAATAAATATTTATCTAGGAAAGCATCACTAAATTCTCCAAGTTTAATTATAATTTATTTGTTTAATTTATTGAGAAAGTAATAAATTAACTTACATATAAAATGTGTTTCTTTATGTTTTTTGATAAATATATTTATCAACTTATGAAATAATGTGTAAAACTAAATTTATATTTATTTGTTGAGAAAATAATCAATTGTCTTACATATTAGATGGGTTTCTTGATATTTTTTTGATAAATATTTTATTAAGTTAGGAAATAATGTGAAACTGATTACATATTAATATGTTAAGAAACTAATCTTATTTCTTACAACTAGTAATATAATTAAAATATGATTCTATGACTTTTACCTTCAGAATTACAGAAATAGAAGATGTTCTTGGAAGTTATTAGTCTTCAAAAAATAACATTTAAAAGGAAAAATCCACCAATCTTAAGTTTTTCTTTTACCTATGTACACTTAACCCATGTCCGCATAATCTAGGCTCTCAGAATTCTTTAGTGGGAGATGCCTTTCGCAATTGGCTAACTGACAACTTGGCTCATTGGACTTGGCCTGTCAATTGTTTGGTCGTCGAAGTCTTTCGTTTTGCTGTCTTCGTTGTTGACGTCGTCTCCAGAACTGCGAAAGCAAAACAAATTGGTGAAAGTTGTTGGCCATCGTCGGTTGCTTTGTTTTGCGTTATATTCGCGTTCTTATTCGCAACAACAAACGGTGGAGAAGAAAGAAGGTTCTTCGCGGCAAACCATTCTTTTCATTTCGTGTTACAAAAACGGTCGTTGAACCTGCTCGCTTAAAAAACTCCAACTCTGGAGCGGTTCTTCGCCTTTTGTTCATCTGTAATAATTTGGCGTGTAAACAGGCCCCATGAAGTCAACGACTTCTGTGCCGATCCGAACCAACAACTTCATCATTGCCTTTTCGGCATTAACACACCGATAACACTGACTCACTCACAAGAGTTTCTTTTCATTGGAATTGGATTTTGGAGTTGGAATCGGGGAATCGGGAATCGGGGAATATCTCTCAAAAGGAATTGGGCTAACGGCTTGACTCAGCCAAACAAACTAACCGAAAGTGTACTGCCAAAAATTTAAAAACAAAATAAGTTGCAAACACACACAAGAAACCCCCATTATGTCCGGCATATGTTAATTCTGACCATGGCATTTAACAACTGTAACCAAAAGTAATAACAACAACATCATCCACATGTAAACAAGATCTCTGACTCATTTGTTTTGTTCCGTTTTTGATTAGGGCCAAATGTGAGTGAACTGCAAAGGCAAAGGCAGAAGAAAACTTGATAGATTTCGTAAACATTCTGGGGAATTCTACCGATGCGCAAGGGAATTTCCACAACTTAAGTGGGTCACAACCATAATGATATAGGGGGAAGCCTTTATATCGCTAGTTCATGTTTAGAGGCTTTTTGTGACATTTTCTAGGATGGGTAAGATGGGTTAATGGGAAGAAACAGAAGCTTAAAGATTGCTTTAAGTCTTCTCCTTCGAAAAATAATCCCAATTATTATTTCAAGTAATTAGAGCTATTTAAATTATAATTTATAAATATAATGTACATATTTAAGTATTTTCATTACTCTTAAAAGAGTTGTTGTATAATTTACTTATTCTTTATTCATGGCTTTAGAATTTTAGACTACTTTTTGCTTCCTTTTCTACTTTTCTAGTTACTACTTCCTCTCTTGAACGATATCTGATTTTAATGCAATCAAAACTTGAAAGACAAACCGCCTGAGATCCCTCAAGTGTGATCACAAACAATTACCATTGCTCCACCAAAGACCCACAATTGTCTCGACTTAATATTCCAACTTTCCTTTTGGACTCCATAGATTATCTCACTATAATTTTAGCACAGTTTTGTTCTACTTCAACAACAGTCATCCGAAGAATGTTGCACAAACTGAGAAGAATTCTTCCCAAACGCTTATCCTCTAAGACATAGAGTTCAACCTGCTGGAGATGTGAAAAGACCAAGAATGGGACTATGAGATAGGGGGAGATACACTTGAATTCAAAAGGTTTTAAATCTTATATTTTTACTTACTAAATATTGTATTAATAGCTGGTAAGTATGCCTAGCTTTAAATGTTAAGCTTTACTTACAATAAAAGAATAGTAAATCATATCCAGAAGAGAGCTAAAGAATCTGAAGCTTCTACTTATCTGTAGCTTAGTTTTCTTATATAATTAATAATAAATAAATGTTTTAATTAGGACTAAATGAATACTTTTCTTATCCATATATTGTATACCAATTTTCCTATTGCTTAGAAACTAATTTTTAGATACATTTAATTTGTTGCAGTGTGCAAAGACTCACATTAGAATTCCACAATCGTCATCATCCTGAGATGCATCAGTTGCAATCGTAATAGCATTTTGATGATCTTTCCGTCTTATCAGTTAGCCGAAATCTGTAACGAAGCCTGCCGTAGAATTCTGCAGAAGAATTCAACTGTTTAATTATTTGTCATCTCTTTTGCTACTCCACTTCTCCGGTTCTCTCTGTGTGTGTGAGTGTGCAGAGCTCCAAGTTCAACGCACTCGTTTGAACTGCAGAGAAGAGTGAGATAGCATCAGAATGAGAAAGAGAGACAGAGAGAGAGAGCGAGAGAGAAGCAGCATTTCCGCAAAAAATCTAAGTAGAAGAATTCTTCCAGCGAGATACTTTCATTGCCAATCTCTTGTGTGTCTCTCTCCATCAGCCATCTCTCTCGAAAATGCTGGCTCTGCAGCCGCCAACCAGTTTTCCCAATGCAAAAAGAAAGGCTTTCTTCTTCGGCCGTTTCTTCTGACTGCAATTGCAATTCTTTATTTTTTTCTTCTTTCTTTTGCTTTCCGCGTCTTTATTGCAATTTGAAAGTATGACCGACTGAGTCGCCTTCTAACCAGTTGGGTAATTTTTCGGCTAGATTCTAACTCGCAACTCCATCTTGGGCCACGAAGCTTGGCTTTTGTGTTAAAGTTCATTTGGTTAGATTGCCATTCTTGGTCCGTAGCCCGGGTCTTTCTTTTGTCTGACGGTCAATGAACTGCCGAAAAAAAAAGAAGAAACAGAACTTTATACATATACAACCGAAAGCAAATCAAAAGTTCGTTACATTCCCCTCCGCTTACATAAAAAAAGGAAGGAAAGAAAGAAAAACGAACATTTTGAACGCACTTTTATTTTTTGGGGGGCCAGAAAGAGAGGTAAATGGAGGTAGAAAGAGAGATAGAGATATATACCTCAGCGGCGTATTAATTTTTCTAATTTGTCTAACCGCGAGGCGAATGAACTCTCAGTTTGGAGTTTTAGTTTTACGTTTTTTTATTATTATTATTATTTTTCTACTTCTTTCCATTTGGTAGTTTGCCTTTATGTCATGATGTTATTTCGTTTTCGTTTCTTCAGCTCAGCTCAGCCCCCCAAAAAAAGTCTTGGCTTAGCTTTTTGAACCTATGAAGACATAATCGTTATAGTCGCAGCCAAAGTTCAAAGAACTCACCTCCACTGGCTTCGTGTGCGGAGAATTCTATTGTGAGAATTCGTGCATAAATTTGAATAACACGCGTATGAGATGTTCCCAACATAGAACTGGAATAATGTTTCGCTTTTTGGGTAGAATAGGGGGTTTGGGGGACAGGTCGTTAGATATGGAGGGGTTTCTTTGATTTATGGAAATTTCAAAGCATAAAACATATAAAAATCATACGAAATTACCAAAAGATCAAATCATTAATCATAGATCGTTTTGTGCTGAATTCAATTTGCATTTTTTAATCGTTTTTAGAGGGAAATGATCTTTGTTTCTATCTCGCTTCACTCGCAGTTTAAGTTTTTCTAGTTTATGACGAGGAATTGAGTTATCAATTCGAATTTTAATGTCATTTCGCACATAAAATTATTCGCAGCTTTGTTCAATAGATTTCATTATGTTTAATTTGTTAAAGAAACTCATTAATTACTTGGTTGGAACTATTAAAAAAGAGTTCTCAGATGTGGGTTAAGGATAGCTGAAACTAGTATTTTAGTTTTTCAATCTTTGAATGATAGCCATCGATTTGGTAGTAGAGAATATAGTATATATACTGACTTAATGACTTTTCGATGGTTTGAATAGTTTAGAACTTGAATTGAAATTCTTGGTTTATGAGCTAAGGATGTGAGATAAATTTAATCTTTAAATTACTTATGAAATTTTCGTATTTTGGAACTGCATAATAGACAAAACTAATTAATAAATAATATTGTGAGATTTAAAAGTGTTCTTTTCTAGGTTCTATTTAAGTATTATGCTATTAAGAGGCCTTCTTTTCTGGGTTCTTATCGTAATCTTCCCGTATCATTAATCATTGGGTATTATAAATTTTTAGGTACTATTAATTACTCATTATTAAGAAATGGAGGTCCCATTTAAGAGTGTTCAGTGTAATATCAGGATATCGGAGGTTTTAGCTATTATTTCGGTATATGTAAACAATTTACAAATTATATAGATGAAATAAGATGTGAGATAAAAGATTATTTAATGGTTTTTCTTTAAAAACACTCAGATATTGTATCCTTTACATATATCAAATAAAATAACAACATTGAATTAATTAAATATAGTTAAAAATACAATAAGGCTTTTTTCTGTTAAAAGTTCATGGCTTCATGGTTTTCTTCGGATAAAAAAATGAAGCTAGTATAAAAAGATCTCTTTATTCCCACGTAATTATATGTAAAATGTGTTTTCTTGTACCGTTAGCTACCTCTTGTACCCAACAGATGTGTCCTGGCATTTACATATGGATATCCCCATTATAACAATTTAGGCTTCCTTCCTGTTTTTCTCAAATCTATAATAATAATACCCCAAAAGAAACCAAAATCTAAGAGGTAAAACCTAACGGTGCCGCCAAGTGAATCCTTTTTCTTCACGTCAGCTGCTGCTCCACGAACTTCCCCTGCTTCGAAAATACATCCATTCATTCCAACATGTTGTCATAATTGATATCCGCTGGGATCAGTTTGAGCTCAACTCAACAACTGTTATAACCCACTCACATCTTACAGTTATGCTTTTGCATTTACAGTTATGCAATGGCAATGGCAACGGCGACAATGCATATGCATCCTTTACGAAACGAGTTTCCTGTCTGTGAAATTTAAATAATGAACAGCAGAAAAATAAACCCGCTGCTGCTCCTTTGCTCCTTTCCATTTCCCGCAATTCTCACTTTGGCTGTCGAGCAAATGAAGCAATCGCAAGGAGTTCCGCCTTCGACGCCTGCCCATTCCAAGGCATCCTTGGAACACTGAGAACAATAGAACAATAAACACTCGCAGAATGGTTTGGAAAACAACATTTTTACCGTAATCCTTTCGTTTTGATCCGCTTGTGAAATACACATACACACGTAGAGGATATTTTCATTCGACCGAAAACGAGATTGAGGAAGAAGGATTAAGGAATGTTGCGCCGCTACCTGGGCAGCCAGGACATGAGTCTGCTTTATTTGAATATCATGTTGTGTCAGGTACCGCTATCGCAACGAAACGAAACGAGAAGAAACCCGCCAAACCGGGGAAAAGGTTCAGCAGCGTCAGGTGCTCGCGAGGGTTGATGTGAGGAAGGGATTTCGGGATCCTCAATCAATTTGATTGCGTGAAATGGAGAAAAATGATATTCTATCCCCCGAAGAAAACAATAATATCGCGGCAGGGAAAGGATAGAAAAAATTGAATGTTTACACAAACCCTCCAAGACAATCGATTGCAACACGCACATGTTGCGCACAACACAGGATGTGAAAGGATATGTGTGTATGTGCCTTGTGGAAAATAACTTACTCGAACAATTTTCCCTTCTCCCTGCCTTCTATTTTCCTTTTTTCGTAGCGGAAATGGCAGCAGTTCACCGACGGCTACTGTCCGAAAAGCAATACCTAATTATGGCAAGGAAACGGTCATAAAGCCATAAAATCAATTGTCAAAGGGTTTGGCATCTCCTCCCATTCTTTCTCTTTGGCCATTAGTCCGGCTTTCTCCTTTTCAAGGGAATCCTTTCAACCCGTTTATGTCCTTTGCACGGTAGGCAAATCAGTTGCATTTCCTGTGAAAATATATCTAGGCCAAAGGCGCGACGCGCCCACTTTGCTTTCAAGTTCGTTGCCTAAGTCTTTCGTTTCATACATGAAAATTTCAACCGAAAATGATACAAAATAAATACAAACAACAAAATCCACAACAAAAAAAGATTGCTCAACTGCCGAAAAATAAAGAGACGTTGCTTTGAGTTCAACGAACGATGAGAATATATATATATGTATATATATTTAACAACAATGCTCTGTTACCAACAGTCAGTCAGTCAGTGGTCATCTTCTCCCCCCGAACCCCTTTCTTTTGCCGCCCAAAAAACCTGGCTCTCAGTTTGTTGACCTTCTCTGCTTTTATATTTCATTATTGTGTGTGTGTTAGTGTGTGTGAGCCCAAAATGAAATGGAAAAGAGCGTCGTTGAGTTGTGGCCCAGAACCCACCGAATTTTACACGAAACACTCTCGCCCCGATACAAAAAACACGCGCTTTTTTATGCTCTTCTCCAGTGTTGAGATTTTTCTCGGGCCTTCCCCCTCTCTGTGTCTCAATGTATATATATTTTTTGATGTATCAACTCTCTTGACTTGCTTTTTTGGGCAATTTTTGTTGGGTTTGTTGTTGTTGTTGAAAAGTGAAGTGAATCACATTGATTCCCCCAGTTTTAAACGCACAGTAGCTGGAATTAAAATGAATTTATGGGAGCAAAAAATATCAAAAGGTATTTTGGGATTTAAGGAAGCCGGTTTGGATATTTTGAGAGGGAGGAAAATATGAAAAAGGATATATAGAATAAAGAAAAGGATCGGGTGGATAAAGAGGGTTTTTATTAAATCCCAAATATTGAGGTATTGTGTGTGAGTAATGAAAGAAAGGAATAAGTTTGATAAGCAAGAAAAGGTGATGAAAGTATGAAATAAGTTCTCATCACCTGCTTATAGTAATGGAATATTGATTATTATACATCTTTGTATTTATCTATATCACATCGCTCAATAAGTTCGCGGCCCGACATATAAGGATCAGTAGTAAGCAAATATAGATATTTTTTATCGAAAGTGTCGATTATCATAAGCTCTGTGTAAAAATTATACAACTCTGTGACCACGTGCTTTTAAGTTACAAATTTTTAAGTAATACAACCTTTGGGTTTTTCTACAATATGGAAAAAAAGGAGTTTCGTCTCCTGATTAAGCACTGTTTTTTGATAGGAAAAAATACAGTAGAAGCAAAAACTTGGCTTGATAAACATTACCCAGATTCTTCTCCGAGAAAATTAACCATCAAAGATTGGTACAATGAATTTAAACGTGGTCGGGTGGACACCAAAGACGCTGAACGCAGTGGTCGCCCAAAAACAGCAGTTACGCCAGAAAATGTGGCAAATATCCGAAAAATGGTATTGGCCGATCGCAAATTGAAATTAAAGGAGATAGCTGATGCCTCAAAGATATCGGAAGCCAGTGTGTTTACGATATTACATGAACATTTGGACATGAGAAAGCTCTGCTCGAAGTGGGTGCCGCGATTGCTAACACCGGACCAAAAGCAACAACGCATCGATGCTTCCGAGACGTGTTTAAGCATGTTGAAGCGCAATAGGACCGATTTTTTTCGCCGTTACGTAACCATGGATGAAACCTGGATACACCACTATACTCCAGAATCCATTCGTCAGTCTTCTGAGTGGGTGGTAGCCGGTGAAAGCCGTCCGAAGCGTCCCAAAACACAAATATCGGCGGGTAAGGTTATGGCTTCTGTATTTTGGGATGCACATGGGATTTTATTTATAGACTACCGGAAAAAGGTAAAACAATAAACAGCGAATATTATATAAAACTGCTGGATCGATTGGATCGCGTTATCAAGGAAAAACGTCCACGTATGGCCAAGAAGAAACCACTGTTTCACCAGGGTAATGCACCATGCCACAAGTCTATGGCAACAATGGTGAAATTAAGTGAATT